ATTGCGTCATCGATTCGTTGTGTTGCACAACTCTTCCAAAAGCCCCAACCCCCCCACCCACCCCCACCCACCCACCCCCACCCCCCGCCCGACGTTGCGCGCAGACCGGAGAGCCGGTGTCGGTACAAGATCTGCTCGGGTGCAAAATTGGCTCGGGTCCGTCGACTGCCGATGACGTCTAAGTAGTTGATTGGCTGAACATGAACCTTATGGAATTACGTAATCACGTAACATTGTTATCACGTGACGTTGGTCCAGGCAAATTTTTTCTATTGGAAAGATGGACAACTTTTACAAAGAAATCCATCATTACCTCTTTGAAAATACACTTTTAGCATAAAGCTGCATATACATTAGGGCTGAACGATTAACTGCATGTGCAATTAAATTGCGATGTGACAAAAGGAGATTTTCTAATGGCAAAGGCTGCAATTTGGCAGCGAGTGGTTAGCGCAATGCTAATATACATGGAAAAACCCATAGGAATGCTAATGCTAATATCGCCGATTACATTATTACAAATTATGAATTAGAAACGTGCCAAATGATTACATTTGGAGTCTACTAGAAAGTAAAACTACCATCAATCAAATAAGTACAGACAGGTATTTTAGTAAAGCCAGAAAACTTTTAACTCCATAGCTTTGGCTAGCAGCTATGAGCGTAACTGAACTACGCATGGACAAGACGTCAAAAACTCTAAACACAAATACTTCAATAAACGGGACACACTTCTTTCCTGCAAATACAATTTCACAGGTGTTGCTAATACCTATGGTTCTTCAAGGGATGTGCTCAAAGAGGAGTTCAACATGAATCAAATATAGTGTTTTATTTTACAAATACTATTATAAACACAAACTTACGTCTTAAGAAACATTATTTTAATAACGAAACTGCTAAATTCTTTCCAACAGTATAGATGTGTAGTGTATTTTGTCCGAGTGGGTTTGCCGTACTTTGACGTCATCGGCAGTCGAAGGACCCCGAGCCGATCTTGCACCCGAGCAGATACTGTACCGACACCGGCAGGTGTTTGGAAGGGGAACATGGCAGAAGCAGCGAGACCCAAAAAAAGTTAAAACTTCTAAAGTTTGGGAGCATTTTCAGTTAAAGCGAAGACATTCGTTACCTGTAACGTTTGTAGGTCAGACTTAGCATGGCACGGGAGTACTACAGTGATGATGCAGCATCTTAAACACAAGCATGTCGGAATCATCAGCGAGGAAGGAGAGAGCTCGGTGTCCGGGTAAGTTAAAAACTTTTCAAAAGTGATTCACCCAAGCCCCGGATTATTACACACACTAGACATGCCCTAAGCTCGTAAAAAAGTCTCTAAAATCGTAAGCGCGACGCTATTAGATAGGCGGGGGGGGGGGGGGGGGGGGGGGACTCGCGCTGCTGTGAACCGGTTCCGCCGTCACATTCCCGCAGAAACTGCTTGATCACACTGGGGCCAGACCACTAGTATGTGGTTTTACAAACACAATGTCCTCGGAAGCAAAAACGCTTTTAAAAGGGAGGGAGGAGTCCTAACTGTTGCTGCAGGCGTGTTGTGTGTGAGTGCAGTTATATACTGGTTAATGTTTTTTTGGGTTCAGTTGCTTTCATGTGGCCTAATGTGAGTCTATTTGGGATCATTGGGATGATCAGCAGCATTTCTTGATGCGACTTTATGGCAGTTGCCCAGGGCATCATCGCAAGGAGGATGGCATTCATTTACTTTTGTTTTATTTGGTATTTTTTTAGTCATTTTTGGAAATAGTAATTAATTTTGATTAATTCACAGCCTATGTTTAATTACATTTAAAAATTTGTTGTTTGACATCCCCAATTATAATAAATGTCTACAGATGAGATCAAACAAAACAGATGAGAATTGCCCTTAAGCGGTTTAACTTGGACCAAGCATTTTAGGTCACAGATAGGTGTAGCTTAGGGTCTCTGTCTATACACCTTATAAGACAATTTAGGTGATGGCATGTTGTTTTTCTGCTATTGAACTGTTTTCTAATAATGTTGTGTTTAATAAAGTGAAGGAAGGAGAGAAATAACGTTTCCCTAGCAGTTTTTAAAAATGTCCCTATGTAATCCGATTAATCGATTAATCGTGTCGATACCCCATACGATTCATCGATTATCCAAATAATCATTTGTTGCAGCCCTAGTATGAACCCCATTTCCGTATTCCTGTGGAAACCTGCCCCAAATTTTATTTGCACCTTAAACACTTCTACCGACGACATTTCACGCAAACACACACTTAGGGCCTTGGGAGTGAGCACATCCAATGGCAGTTGGCAGGGGGATTTTTCAGCCTCATCCCGAGTGCCGGTGCCCACTTCTAATTTTAAACTGCACTTAGACACAGAGGGCTGTGGGTGCAAGTGGGGTAGTGTGGTGGCGTCAGCTGGCGTAAGCCAGATGATGCCCGCACTGCCCGCTCACCACAGCCATGGAATACACCTCATGAACACTCACTAACACCATACTGGAGCAGGTGGAGGGAGACTAGGGGTCTTAGCACACCTCTGTTGTCACTTGGCTTCCCGGGGCTGGAGGCTAGGAGGGAGATCTGGCCATCTGGTTGGGGTCTGGGGTGGTGGGTTGCTTTGCTCAGTGTTGGGCAGGGCAGCCATGCCCATCAGCACCCCAGCAGAAAGGGTCGAACTCTGGGAACCGGTAGTGGTTGTACCCAATGTGCAGCAGTACCGGGACCAGAGTGAATAGGGTGTGTCTGGGGAGCATGAGTGGGTGTCCGGCATGCATTTTTGTAAGTCTTTGGTTGTATCTGTATGTGTGAGCATGAGGGAGGGAGTGTGTGACTGTGTTTGTGTATGACTGTATATGTCAGGTGGGGCCTTTGACTCATCCCTTCTCCTGGGACTTCTTTTGATGTTATACATCTTCATCTCCTCTCCCCTGCCACACCTGGTGTGGAGTGTGGTGCCTTGGTCTGCCTGAGTGTTCGTGGCTCCCAGGTCAGGGGGTTTAAGATATTTGGCATCTGCCTGACCAATCCCGGTGGCTGCCTGGTGGGGTCTGGGTCCCTGGGCTCTGCTGGGCCCCCGGCGGGGGTGGTCGCCCCTGGGTCCCGGGTCGCTGGGTCCTGGGCTCGGCCGACTGGGGGGTGGGAGGCTGCAGGTGGGCCTGTGGGCTTGCCGCTGATATCTCCCGGGACTCTGCCAGCTGCTGGTTGTGGCCCCCCGGGGCAATCCTCTTCACCTCTCGAGAGGGGGCAGGGACTTTTCTGGTCGCAGTCTCATTTGGGTCCCTGCGCTCTAGGGCAGCTCCTGGATCTCTGGGACTTGGAGCTCCCTCCATCTCCTACACATCTTTGGGGGCAGATCTGTGGCCCCCCCACACTCTATATTGGACGCTCCTATAGAGAAACCTTACATAAACAAGCGCGTGTACACACACAGGTGCTCACATGGTGCTCTCATAAGTATGGACTTGGGCACGTTCAACACAGGTCTTAAGGTTATGGTGGGCACTTAATGCACTGTGATTTATTATCGTGCGATTGTTCAGTAAAACAATGTTGATTTTATATTTCATCATCAAGCTGACGCAGTGATAGCTTGCTGCTGTTGTATTGTTGTGTCCCTTTTCTGCAGGTCTAGAAGCAGACTCTTGTTCATCATTGATTGTTTATTTTTGTGGAACTCCTCCCCACCTTTTGTCTCTTCCTTTCTCTTTCACCTCTGTCTCCGTGTCTGGTTGGAATTACAAAGCATTCAAAAAACAATAACAATAAAGCTTTAAGTACCAGGCATGCCATTAAAAGCAGATGCTTTGATGCTCCACCTGAGAGTAGATCTGTAAGGCTTGTCACCAGCATTCAGACATTAATTCTGTTTGCTTCACAGCCAGACAGGACACGGGGGGGGGAAAAAATAAAAAATATATACGGTAAGATTTCTTTCTTTATCTTTACAAGAAAGAACATGTAATGTTGATTTAGCCTTTAAAATGTATTTATTGAGTGGTCACCGAACTCGTCACGTAACCAGTTTAGCATTCTAGTACAAGGCTTGAATCATGTTGGCTTCAGACACTAGTTAGTTTGGTTTAGGTGAGCGCCAGCATGATTAAATTTACTGGGGTTTGTTAGTAAAATCAAGTCAGCTGGTAGAAGGCATAAACGGAAGATTGAAGATTGCAAAAACATTAGTGGGGATTAGGGTTGGGCATCGAGCAACGATTGGAACTGGGAATAACTCAGTTTTTCCTGGAATCATTCAAAGTTTTAAATTTCGAATACTAGTTTCGATGCCCAGTCCACCGACCGAGAATCCGCAACCAATGTCCGTTAAAAAAACATGATCTACAAATTCTGACTAAAGCCTCTCAGAGCCGGTCAAACCAGCTGTTCATCGCTGCTAATGTGAAGCCTAGAGATACGTTGAACGCAGCACTGCGTCACCCCCTCCCTTCCTGTCCCTCACACTCTAGGAGCACAGCAGTAAAAATGTAAACAAACATATCTGCTGAACTTTTACTCCGTGAGCGTGTTGTAAAGTTTGTATCCTACGACTAAAATACGGTGAGGAGGAAGCTTGTTAAAATGCATCCAGACAGTGAATTTAGTACAAGTTTTAAAGGAGAAACTCTGAGTGGATTCAAGTGAGATAATAAGGCTCGCTGCAGAAATAAAAATAGAGCATCAACAGTCAAACGCAATACTCGTCTGTAAGCCATAAAATAATAAAGAGCATCACGATAGATCAGCAGCTTGTGATGACACATCATAGCACCGAGTCTGCACATATTCGTGTGTTAAATGACATTCTGACAGAAACTGATGCTGGTTCCTTTGTTCTGTTACTACTCTAGGGTTATATATATATATATAATTTCTTGTTGGTTGCTCTTTAAGGCAGAATGAGCTTCCTTTCTTTCCTCTGAAGAGTAAAGAAATCTGACTTATTTACTTCCTGAAATCTGTGATGAAAAAAAAAGAACATCAATAAAGTTTTTCTTTAAATAATTTTTACTTTTTTGAGGATGCCAGTGAGCCTCTCTGTCTCACAGTCGATGATGATCTGTCCCTCCTTCCTCTTGTCCAGATCCTGGAACACCTTCAGAAAGGAGGCCTCTGTCATGGTCTCCACATTGACTGAGGTCACCAGCCAGTTCCTCTCTGCTGCCGTGTCCAGAACCTTCTGCAAAACTGACAGTCCTGTCCAGAAGAACACAGATACAAAGACAACTGTTTTAAAAGACACTGACAGAAAACTTCCCAACCATAAAACCAATAAATGACCATTTCTCAGTTCACTTATTGAGATGATTAACACATGTCTATATCTTTAAAGGTGGAATCAGCACATTCAGAGTTGGAAAACAAATTGAAACCACTCGTGAATCAAGCAGGGTCCCACACTGCTCCTGACGAGCGCATCCTTCAGGATCTCCCCGTAGCTTTGGTGATAAAGTGTAACGAGTGGGACAGTCCATTAAACACACCAACACTTACAGGTGTGCTTCTCCAGCTTGTGCACCGCCGGGCTAAATAATCACCGCTTTCATGCTAACAAATAATCAGCTTCATGCATCATCACAGTCTGCACACTTACAGACAGCTTTATGTCCTTTAAGCACCAATTACAGGTGGTGCTACTCAATTACAGAGTCGCCAAAGCGCCGCTGAGACACTCGAGCATCACAGAGAAACGGAGCAGCCGATGAGCTAGGGGCTTATGCTAAGTCAGGAAATAAAAGGCGATTAGGGAACACATTGATCTTGAGCTCTGATTTACAGTCTGACTCACTGTTGTGCTTCTTTGCTGCTGGCAGAGGACCAATCAGATTTTTCTGGAGCTGGCAGTCGCAGTTGTTCCACAGAGTAAATAAAGCCATTTCACCCACATCAGACTGGCTGCCATTATCCAAATGAATTGCAGTAATTACAAAACTCATAAATGTGAGCCAGATCTTGATGCCTTTGATTTTCATTTGTTAAGCTGGAAAACCGCGTTAAGGCCCATATGTGTTATGCTGTTTGGTTGCTGTTAGTCATACAGGCACTTCATGGGCTAACACACAGAAAGTTCCAACACACAAAAGAAAAACAACACAATCACCGTCAGAATAATAATGATAAATGCAGCCACGGTGCATGAAAGATGGCTGCTTGGCCTTATTGAAATGCAGAGCAGCTGCTCTCCCGGCAGTTCAGGCAGCGTTTTTGACACCAGGTCATTAACAAAAGAAAAGATTGATGGCATCTCGGTTTCACATATGACCACGACATGCAAATAAATGGGAACAACAAGAAAAATGAAAGGATTTTGAGTGAAACTTTTATACAGAAGATGGTAAGAGATTTACTGAAAGTCATGCACTTCACCTGTTGGTGGGGTTTGTGTTTAACTGTAGCTAATGAGGGAATAATAGCAGTTCTGGGTGCTGACAGATTTAACAGTAGCTGTGGACGTGTTGATGGGTACGGGAACACAGGAGATAATTTGTCTCGTGTGAAAAAAGATCAAAGGGTCGACCATCTCTGAATGGGGGCAGCAGTAGCTCAGGAAATATTGTCCAGCGATCAGAGTGTTGCAGGATCAATTTTGGCTCCCTGTAGAGAATTCTGCTGTTGTGTATTTTGGAAAGACACTTCACCCTCTTTGCCTGCTGGTGGTGGTCCGAGGCGCTGGTGGCTCCTGTGTGCGGCAGCCTCACTTCAGTCATTGCGCCCCAGGGCAGCTGTGGCTACAATGTTGCTCATCGCCATCAGTGTGTGAATGTGTGTGTGAATGGATGACTTTAAAGTAAAGCACTTTGGAGTCCTCCGCTCTGAAACGCGCCATGCAGGTTATTTATCAATGGAGCCGTTTCAGATGCTGGAGGAGATTTCAGCACCACGGACAGCATCGAGAAACAAATTCTGCTTCAAAAAACAAACATTGGCCTTGCCTTTCAATATTTTCTAAAATTCATTAAATATATTTAAATTTCAGTTATTTCCCGATGGATTATTTAAGATATGTGGTTGGATAAGACTGCAATGTCAACCAAAATTACAAGAGAATTGTGAGACATACATACATTTAATCATTATAGTCTTGAGAAGCGCTATATAAAAGGTTGTCTTCTTCTCCTTCTAAACATTATAAGTATTTTTTATTCATTCTCTGTGTTTTGTTCTTTAAAAAAATGAAAGTAACAACAGCAAATTTGGAAAACATATTAGCTTAAAACTATTGTTGCATGCATGCTAACAATGTTCTAAGATAGTAATAAAGATTTTGTGAAGATAAAAAAAAGGAAAGAATTGATTAAGTGGTTCACTCACATCCGTCTAAAAATCTATGCCAGTCACACACTTTGGCATGAAAGCAACTATTGGACTATCTGTAACCGCTGCGCTTTCCTGGGTCCTCCATTCATTACACACTCACGCATTTAGCAACAGAACACCACTGGTGTGAGAGGTTCTCCAGTCAGTAATATCAGAAAAGGAGAAGCAGCCGGCTGCTACCTCAACTTCAGGACAAACTACCAGAGTCCTGAAAAGAACACCAATTGAAGTCACGGACAACAAAAGACGTTTGGACCTAGAAAACAGCGGGTTTCTGGTTCCGGCACAAGCGTCTCAGTGAAAATACCCGAGTAGAGAGTTGAGTGTTCTGTGACCGTGTTTGCATTCAGAACCTATCTTGTTCTGTAGATTTGCTATAGCAGCTTTAAACGTTACTGTAATCTGGAGTTTTTAACCAATATATATATTTTCATTCACACACATGTATACACTTTCTTATCTATAATATCATCATTACCATGTTCTTGCAAAAATCAGCTCTATTGCTCAAATCTTTTTTATGCAAAGATAATTAAAATAACTTGTGGTATACATATTTTAAAAAAAGTATTTTTGGGAGCTGTTAGAGATGGGCACCAAATTCCATGGTACCGACCGAGGACCGATTCACGGGATATGAAACGGTGCCTTGTTTCAGCTCCTATTCTTCCACTAATGAGAACTTGCGAGACGGTGATTTCCCAAGATAAACAGCAGCGTATGTGCAGGAGTGTAATGCTGTCAGTCACTGCGGAGCGAGCAGCATGGCAGAGAGAAATCCTCTAAAGTTCAGGTCGACTAAATGCGATGGGTGACTGGGCGTTGATGACATCGACAACAATCTAAGTGAGGCGTCGTTATCTTAATCTGCTCCAGCAGGTAAAAAAAACTGTTATCTTGATACAGTTAGCTTGATCTTTTAGCTTCCGTTAACATTAGCTAAATGTGCGTTTGCTTTCTCCTCGGAACTCGGAAATTCTGACTTCTGAGTAGAAAAAAATCAACAGTTTGAAAAAGAACGGCAAAAAGAATGAAGACACACAGTGAATTTAGTTCACACGGTTTGTCCAGAGGGGAAAGGAGAAGGATTGTAGTACACGCAGCTGGGTTTTAGTTTGTGAAACACCACAATATCAATATGCAAACAGTTGTGTGGTACTAAAGTTTCTTTTAGTGTCGTCTGTAGTTTATAATGCATGGGCTCCTCGTCATTGTTATTCCAGAGGGCTTAGAAGAGGGATAGGAGAACATGGAGCTGGGTTTTAGTTTGTGTACCATTTAGAAACCGTTAGTAAAGGCTTTCACACTGAAGAGTTTTGTACAACGCTACAGTGATAAAATACAAATGGTTGTATGTTATTTATTGTAATAATTATCAAATAAGTTTATATAATGAGGTTTTTTTCATATTTAATTAAAAAAGCAATTAAATGAATTATCAAACACTTAAAAGTACCGTAAATTGGTAGTGTTAAGTACCCGTATCGATTCCTAGGTACGGGGAATTGGTACCGTATGGATTCAAATGTCCCTAGGAGCTACAAAAACTCTTCCGTACACCAATACGTTTTTTATATTTATAAAATTAAGTATTCATAAACTGAAAAATTGTGTATTTAAACCCTTTTCTTAACCTACATTCTGCACTTTTTACACATTATACGTGTGTGTGTGTGTGTGTGTGTGTGTGTGTGTGTGTGTGTGTGTTAACTTAATGTCTTCACTGTAAAAAAACAGTACTTCTCCATGTAAATATTTCTCTTATGAGAGCCTCCATGTCATCTCACAGCTACATAAAGCCACAATCATGTTTTTTAATTACTGTGACTTCATTCATTAGAAGAAAAAGGCATTTTTCTTTTTAATGTGTTTAATCTGAACACAGTTTCTGTTTGGACCTGCAGCGTGTTATGCATCTGGCCCCTGGAGTCCACATCCCTTTCATTATCTTATCACTGTGGCTGAATTATTATTGCACCTATCATCTCAAACATCCTGTCTACTTTTTATTCCTCCCCTGATTCTCCTCTTTTCGAATCACGATTTTTGCATCCAGTACTATCTCCTGCTTTTAAATGTGCCTAATGCACCCCTATAAGTCCCAGACAGCCTGACTGGGAGCCTCTCAGGAGCAGCCGGGGGGACAAATGGTCCTCCAAAGGCATCCTGAAACAGAATAATATCATAATGGAATCTGGCTGTGATAAGCACCTTTTTTTGCCAGAGGCGGTGCATGGAGACCTGGGCATCTGGCAACTCGGAGCCCAGAAAATAACAGTTTGGGAAACAATTTCCTGAATATTGCTTATGATGGGGTTAATGGGCTATCAAATTTGTTTCCCTTCTCTTGGCTTTGGACAGTAAAAAAAAAGAGCTCATTCATCACATTTATTAGAAGATGCAGCAGCGCACAAAAGCAATACAGATGTTTGCAGACCAAAGGAGGGAGGACATGAAGCTTCCAAAAGACAGGGAGGTGATGTGTGAGTAACACAATCTGACAAGATATTAGTAAATTATCTGTTCCTAGACAACTTCAAAAATCTATAAAGAACTAAAACAAGATGGGCGAAAAAGCAAACATCTTTTTTGCTACGGAATTTTCTTAAGGGCCTAAAATAACCCTGTGACTGGCGACTGCAGCATAGTATCCAGGCAACTGAGGAACATGGACTCCACTGGCTCCATCCCCCTACCCAACAGCACAGGAGTGACCCTGCACACAAACACACTAAGAAAGAGATCTCAAATGCTTTAAAAACACCGCTACCAGAGACACAACCAGATTTGACCTTGTATTCATCATAAAATGTATTTTTCACACACAGAAAAAAAAAGTTTTCCTTTGAAATCTGTCACTGAAAATCTGCTATTTAATAACCTCTAGGTCAGAGGGTCAGAAACCTCTGGTTCTGGAGCCAGACGTGGAGATTCCCGCCCTATAACTTATCTACAGTAATGATGATATTTATGTTGACATAAAAAATAGTAGTGTTAGCTGTATTTCTATCCAAAGCTTCAGCACCGAATACAGAAAACGTGCCCACAGCAGAACGGTCTAATGATAAAATCAGTCATTTATATAGAAATTAGAAAGCAGGTCAGTTGGTACTGAGGTGGCATTCTGCCATTGCTTTAAATAGTAAGTAGCCCGTATTTGTATGGCATCTTCTTAAGGTGCTACAATCCCCCAAGGTGCTTCACAATGCAACCTGTCATTCACCCATTCACACACAGGTAATGATGAGCTACAGCGTAGCCACAGCTGCCCTGGGGCACATAGACCTGTGCTTGTGGGACAAGTCTATTTCAGCAGTTAACATAGGGCTAGACAAAACATAGCTAGCCCTACACCTGTGCTCGGCGAGGCTGCCGAGCACAGGCGCCACCGGTCCCTCTGACCACCGCAAGCAGGCAAGACGGGTCAAGTGTCTTGCCCAACAGCAGCATCAAACCTGCAAGCTTTCCGATTACTGGACAACCCGCCTGAGCTACTGCTGAGCTACTGCTGTCCAGAGTTAGCCCAAACTATTGGAGCGAATAAAAATATTCACTCAAAAATTTGTGAACAGCATTGTCTATGTCTGCTTTGTTTATGCAGCATTGCTAGACACACCCAAAAGTGAAAATTTTCTACATATTTTAATCAGTTCGCTAAATTGTGACACAATTGTGATGACATGTTAAAATGACCTAGTCTCCGAAAGAGAAAAACAGAACAAAATCCTGGTATTTCAGATTAAATAATGTTGGTTATATAGATTGAATCCCTAATGCTTTTTTTTCTAGAAGATTTGTGGAAACACAATATCAATTAAGGACGCTCCAATTTGATCACATGATCAAAATCAGACACAACCAGATCATTCTGATCAGGATCTGGAGAAAAAGACCAGATTTAACCTTTTAAATCAACAAGCATAACTATTTTTAGTTATCCTGAGATGGATCCTTCAAAAAAAACAAAAAACAAAAACAATGGCTTAGTTTTAAAGAGACAATGTGTAATTTTTACATTGATGAAAATGAATAAAATGATGTCCAGTTGTTGAAAAATATTGGTGACTTTGTAGCATATAGCCATAAACATCGGGTCTAAATTATAGGGCGCGGGTCTAGCATCTTTGATGGGAACCCATATTAGACGCCATGTCTCCTTCTGACTGGATAACAAGACTGTTAACTCTTTCTGAAACCTATGTGAAATAACATTATTTAAAAAGAGATACAGTGTATTTTGACCGAACGGTATTGCATGATGATGTTATCAGCAGGCGCAAGGCCCCGAGCAGATCCGCAAAGTTCAACGGAAGAAAACCACAATCGACCTTGCATTCTCTCAAAATAATTAACTGAAGAACCAGCAAAGTCTGAGTAGTCAGAGGTTGCATGCTTCCTGCTCCATAGGCAAGAACATTTAATGTTCATTTAAACTATCAGCAGTCACGAGGATGTGGTGTTAAACTACCCTGAAGTGCATGTACTGCCTCCTAGCACCGGGAAACTACACACTGCCACTTTAATTTCAGCAAGTACATCAATATGCTTTGTTTCTTGCATGAAAACAATACAGTGTCATCACACAGTTTATGGCAGGCAGGGACTCGGACACCAAGATTCAGTTGTTAGCTAGCAGGCTAACGCAGAGCTAGCATGTCTCCTCAGCAGAGCTAAAATGTCTGCAGCTTGGTGGTATTTTCATGAAACAATGAAGGCAGAGCAACAGCCACTTGTACTGTGTGCATACTAGGCATTCAACACACTGGGAAGGACACAGCTCCATGATTTGCTGCATTCTAAACAAACAACTTTCACATTCGGCTTTTCCCTTCGGGCATCAACAAAACCATTCATCCATGTCCAGTTTGCCGCTAACAGTCCCAGTTCACAGCGAACTTAAATAAAAACGCAGAGCTGGCCGACAGCTTGAGCGTGTTTGTTTTTTAGTCTTAATGTTTTTCTTGAAGATTATTATTTTTTATTATGATTTTAATGCTTTCCTGGAAAGTATCGGATCAGGACTCAGTATCAGCAGAAACTCAAAATCGGATCAGGAACTAAAAAAAAACGTGATCGGAACATCTCTTTCATCAAACATGGATCCAAGTCCTAACAATACAAAAACAGATTTTTGTTGAATGGATTGGTCCAGGTTAAACTCATCTGATACACGGATACATCCCTACTCTTTACAGTCACCACGCGCTGATGTCACCACGTGCTGATGTCACCACACGCTGATGTCACCACGCGCTGATGTCACCACGCGCTGATGTCACCACGCGCGGATGTCACCACGCGCGGATGTCACCACGCGCTGATGTCACCACGTGCGGATGTCACCACACGCTGATGTCACCACGCGCTGATGTCACCACGCGCGGATGTCACCACGCGCGGATGTCACCACGCGCTGATGTCACCACGCGCGGATGTCACCAAACGCTGATGTCACTACGCGCTGATGTCACCACGTGCTGATGTCACAACATGCTGATGTCACCACACGCTGATGTCACCACACGCTGATGTCACCACGCGCTGATGTCACCACGCGCTGATGTCACCACGCGCTGATGTCACCACGCGCTGATGTCACCACGTGCGGATGTCACCACACGCTGATGTCACCACGCGCGGATGTCACCAAACGCTGATGTCACTACGCGCTGATGTCACCACGTGCTGATGTCACAACGTGCTGATGTCACCACGTGCTGATGTCACCACATGCTGATGTCACTACGGGCTGATGTCACCACGTGCTGATGTCACAACGTGCTGATGTCACCACGTGCTGATGTCACCACACGCTGATGTCACCACGTGCTGATGTCACCACACGCTGATGTCACCACGTGCTGATGTCACCACGTGCTGATGTCACCACGTGCTGATGTCACCACGTGCTGATGTCAAAGTAGCAAAGTTTGAATTATTTTCATCCTTCTTACTTTCTCAGTCAAGTGAAACACATGAGTAGACATAATATAGACACACATCTGAATCGGCTAAAAGTCCACATGCATGCATACATTTATTATGTCTCCAAAAGCTGCAGGTGCAGCCACCATGGTCATGCTCCAAAACGCTCAACACCTGGGACAGATGGCACGGCATAAGGGAAAGATTTGTGGCTCTTGAGGAGCAGGAGGCTCACCAGTGCTCTACTTCGTGTTCCTCTGCCTTTGCAGGAGTGTTGTTAAAACTGTAAAACTGAACACTAGCATGTTTTCATTCTAGTAAAGTACTGACAAAGAAACTGTGTCAACGCCAGTCTGCTGATGGCTGTTTAATAAAAAGCTTAAGCTTTTGTTCTGTTGATCTATCCGTGTAGAGCAATGTTCCCCTATTTGAGCTCTCTGTTTGCTGAAAGACCACTGCCGTCACCATGGCGATATGAACAAATTGTTTTGGAGAACTAAAATGTTCTCGCCCACTTCACACGTTCTCTGTAATGAACAAAGACTAAGAATACAGTGTGAGAAGAAACCAGTTGAAGGCTCTTACCTGAGTCAGAACTGTACATGTAGACAAACTTGGTCCAGCCGTAGTGATCGATGACTCCCACCAGGGCATCCTGAAGCTCAGGCCTCAGCTGGATGACAAACTGGTTGGCTGTCTCGATGGGGAAGGACGGCGAAACAAAGCAGACGTGCAGCGCTCCGCAGAAGGACATGAGCATGTTGACGGTCTTCCTGTCATACAGCCCAATGATGGCGTACACTCCTTTGGAGAACTGGGAGCAAACTGGAATGGAAGAAAACAGAAAACAGAGATTAATGGTAAATGGTCTGTATTTGTATAGTGGCTTCTTGGAGTTCTACGACCCCCCCCCCCCCCCCCCCCCCCCCCCCCCCCCCACACACACACCCAAGGTGTTTCACAGCACAATCAATCATTCACCCATTCACACACTGGTGGGGATGAGCTGCGATGTAGCCACAGCTGCCCTGGGGTACACTGACAGACGCGAGGCCTGCCGGACACTGGCGCCACCGGTCCCTGACCGCCACCAGCAGGCGAGGCCGATTAAGTGTCTTGCCCAAGAACACATCAGCTGGTTGGAGTTAGGTGAACTCTAACTTGGTACCCCTTACCCTGGACTGACTGGAGAAGTGATACATGAGGAGTTCACTAATGATCATTTCAATCAACACTGAAATCAAAGTTACTCAGTGAGTTCATGTTTTAAGAAGACTGAAAGCCATCGACAGGAGCCGCCTCCTGGAGAATATGGTTAGGATGCCTCTTGGACGCCTCTCTGGTGAGGTTTTTCAGGCACATCCAACTAGGAGGAGGCCTGAGGGATGGCCCAGGAACTCCTTGGGATTCTCTCAGAGGAGCTGGCCCAAGTGGTTAGGGAGAGGGAAGTCCGTGCCTCTCTTTTTATGCTTGTTTCACACTGGAAGCATCGGTGACACGGAACGACAGATGAACGTTTTGCTCACGAGCTTCAGTCATTTACACACCAGGAGTGTCTTGACTGCAGAACGGCTTCCTTGCTGTGCTCTTCGCTGGACTCACAAGATCCCAAAATCCCTTGAGACTTAAAAGGCCATGCTTTGTTGATGTAGTCCGCCGAAGGAAATCACGTTTGATATCGCTGTTTGATGTCATTTAGGATGTTGTTCCTCTCCACTGCCAGTAATAAAGCCATGAAAAATACATCGCTGCACTTCTGAAATGATGCAGGGAGTAAACAAGGCGTTGGATCACTCATAAGCTGCACACATATAAAATCGCATCGCTGCAGTACTTTCTTTTTGAAAACTACCAGGGATTTTACAGTGAAACTGTGTGTGATTTCCTGTCTAGCTCTATGTTAACTGCTGAAATAGACATGTCCCACAAGCGGCTCGCGGCAAAAATAGAACGCAATCTTATCTTTAGCAGTGCGCCGCTTCTGAGACACATCTGAAAAGAGCCGCGTCATGGCTGGTTTCCTGATGCTTCCGGTGTGAGACAGGTGTTATGGGCTCGACACACGGGAGGCGACAAACAACCGCGATCAGCGAAATTTGCCGCTGTCGTTTTTATTACCTGACACACGGGAGGCGACCCGCAGCAGCGGCGTCTACGCGTTCTGTTCCATGGCGAAATCGAAACTTCCGTTGTTTTGTTTGGCTGTGTCAGGTTGGAGGGAATTAAGGTTTTTTAAGCGGTTCAGAGTTAATAAAGCGGTAGATATGATGTTTCACAAGGTGCTGTTAGAGTTATGTGAAATCTTACTTATGATTTTACTATATAAACATAATAATAATCAACTTCTCCTCCATGTTTGCTCGGAGATGTACGGAGCATCCTGTCCGCTCATTGGTCAGTGAATGAAACCTTCGTTGATTGGTCCTCGTCCGAGCGACAGTGATGAAAAGTTGAAAATATTTCAACTTTCTGGGATCGCGTTGCTGGGTCGCCTGTGCATGACACGTGCACGAGCGCAAAATTTCACATGTACGTTTTTCGCGTTTCGCTTAGTAGGAGGGAGACCCGGTGTTCCGGGAATTTCTCCTACCCCGCAAACCGTCCTACCCCTTGGTACTGAGCATGTGCGCGCATGCGCACAACACAAAAGGGGAATGCTACTCCGCTGTCATATTTGCAGGAAAATACATAAGTAGTACGTATTAGTATTTTTTAATGACGTTGATACTTCATTTTCTTTGGTTAGGGTTAGAGTTATGGTTAGGGTTAGGGTTTGTCTTGCTAAATGCCGTAAAACCATACTACAGGTAGGATGTTTTGCCAAAGTAGGACGTTTTCTCAGAACACCGGGATTATCGCTTTGACGCGCATGTCTCATTGAAAATGAATGGAGGAGAGGCGATGTTGCCTCCCGTGTGTCGAGCCCAGTAGGCCGCTGCCGCTGCAACCTGACTCCAGATAAGTGAATGAGGATGGATGGATGAATGAATGAATGCAGGTGCCAATGTCTGTCAGATGATTGCAGAGTGGTAGTGTTAGGTGGTGAAAAAAACTTTAAAGCTATCGGCCAGAGGCAAAAATCCTTTGAATGGCATATGTAAAGAAGTATTAAACCTCAGATGAAAAAGGTTTTTGGATTTTCACGGCTGCAATTTAAAGAAAATCTGATGTGTTTTACCGGCGCGGGAAGATGAGGTGGTGTCAGTTTCAGAAAAACATCCTCAGTGAAATAATCTGGGCGACAGTAAGGTCCAATCTGCTGTAACAGCTTGTTAACGCTACTTAAATTCTATTTGTTTATGAACACATGATGAACACAGGCTTCCAACTCTGGACATCTCTCATGATTTAGTTTTAACAAATATCCTTAAACAGTTTCAGCTGATTTTCTCATTTAGGATAACGCGATCTCTCTCTCTCTCTCCCGTTCTATGTTGCTCACCCATAAGAGGCAGAGAAAAAGGACAAACCTCCAATCTTATTTTAATATCATCAACCAAAAATGCAGCAAAGCATCATTTTGCCTGCAGTTATTGAAGCAAAATGAATAAAAAAACATTAAATGATTCAGGAATGCAGGAAAAAAATTTATTTTTGTTTTTACATTTTGTACTTCGGTACAGACTATTTAGAAATTTGTGTTTTTATCTCATTGCTTGTATTTTATTCAAATTATCTTCAGCTTTATTCATTTTATGAAAATTCTTTTTGCTGTACGTTTGAAAAAAATACACCATAATAGTCGATCGGTTTTGTTTTAAATATCTTTTCATAAGGCATCCTATAGGTTTTGGAAGTTTATGTTTATTTTAGACAAAATAGCTGAACACTATGAAAAACTGACATTGCTGCTGACATTACATCCAACTGTACATCTCCTTTAAGCCCCATGAGATGTCTAAGCTGCAGCTGTTACACACCTGCTTAGACTCCATTAAAACCTGGATGGTGGGAACTTTCTTCAGCTGAATGAAGATAAGACTGAGATCCTCATCTGTGCCCCAGACAAGCTGGTTCCCAAAGCCAGAGACTCTCTTGGTCAGCTTGCTTCTCACACCAAACCCTCTGTCAGGAATCTTGGTGTGACATTTGACCCAGCTCTCACCCTGGATTCTCATGTCAGTTCTCTTGTTCGCTCTTCCTTCTTCCATCTCAGGAACATTGCTAAGCTGAGTCCCATTCTGTCCCGCTCTGAACTTGAGACAGTTATCCACACCTTCATCTCCTCACGCTTAGACTACTGTAACTTTCTTTTCACGTGTTTGAGCAGAACCTCCCTGAACCGTCTGCAGGTGGTTCAGAATGCCTGTGCTCGGCTTCTGACCAAGTCCTCCAAACACACCCACATCACCCCGCTTCTCCTCCAGCTTCACTGGCTGCCAGTCAACTTCAGGGTTCATTTCAAGATCCTGGTTCTGGTCTATAGGGCCTTACATGGACAAGCACCATCTTACATTGGTGATCTTCTTAGTCCCTACACCCCCAGCAGGTCCCTGAGGTCCAGTGATCAAAGCCTACTGGTTGTGCAGCGCACCAGGCTAAAGGTCAAAGGTGACAAATCATCTTCTGCTGTGGGCCCCAGACTCAGGACCTCTCTCCCCCTGAGCCTGAGATCAGTGGACTCAGTGGTCTCCTTTAAAAAGCAGCTGAAGACTCACCTGTTCAAGCTGACTTTTGCGTGACCTCCATCACCACCTTCTCCTTGTTCTGTTCTTATTAGGCCTTTCAACGGATCCACTGATTTCCCTCTTTCCTAGTCACTCTCTCTCTTTCTTTACATTTTTTTAATCACAATTGTCTATTTTTTTGCTCATTTTAAAGGGACTTTTGGGACATTTGAATTTTTATGCTCGCGATTGCCCCCTAAGGCAAAAGCGTAACGGCAGCTTCAATAGTAGGCTCGTGCACGAGGCGCGCATGCTGTACGTGCACACTCCTTAACGAAAATAACTGCCGAGACAGTCCCTTGTGTGTGTGTGTTTGTGTGTGTGTGTGTGTGTGTGTGTGTTTGTGTGTGTGTGTGTGTGTGTGTGTGTGTGTGTGTGTGTGTGTGTGTGTGTGTGTGTGTGTGTGTGTGTGTGTGTGTGTGTGTGGCCCGGAGGACAGAGGACAGGAGAACACGCAGCTAATTAATTAAATAATTTGGTTCTGTACCTTTCTCTTCAGCACAGCCGACAAAGGTTTATGATGGGTCAGTCCTCCTGCATGCTCAGATCATGCCCTTCCCTTGCTTGAAAAATTGTTCAACCCACATCTTTTTTATCTGTGAATTCAATGCCGTTCAGCGAGTCTCAAATAAAAATTTGGGCATCTTACTGTAAAATAATATACCATTAATGTAAAAAAATAATTCTAAATAAACTACGTTCCCACCCAGAGTTAAACTCAGGTCTTCTGCATGGGAGTCAAACATCTTACAAGTTGAGCTACATACCAGTAACACTCACAGTATGTGTAGCTTTTACATCCTTGATGACAGGTGAAACTAAGGGTCCTCAGTAATGTAGCTAGCTCTGTCACTAGGCGTTGGGAACAGCGACAAAGTGGCACTGCCTCTCTCTCTGCTGCTAAAGCTACGGATAGCAAATGCTACGGGCTATGCCTGTGCGTGAACGCGCATGAAGCAGCCTGCTCGACCCGAGCATCTCTCTTTTTCTGTGATTTTACAGAAAAACAGGCAATCACAGTAAAAATGCCAGGGCTCGTTCTACAGGACCAGGGCATTGCAGGAGAATGTATGAAGAAGACATTTATTATTTCTATACATGTTTTGGCTGTCAAACTTCCATAATGCCCCTTTAAATATATTTTTAACCCATTTTTTG